CATCTCTGCTCACCTCCCCTGGCCTGTGAACTGTAACCTCATCCCAGGAACTGCAGGACACTCCCCTACTCACCATGGTAACGTGGTGAGAGCATCTTCAACGTGAGAAGGAGACTTGGTCCATACACAGACAAGAGCTAGGCAAGGTCAAACTGACTGCCTTGTGTGGGATCCATGGTAGCACCATGCCACACTGGTTAGTGACGAGCTCTTCCACTGAGTCAGAATGTGGTCCCCAGGACCAACTTCTGGGATGCTGCCGCCTGGACAAGGTGTGCACAAAGGTCCCTCAGACACAGAGCAGTAGGCTCCAAACACCCCACTGGAGTTCACCACAGTGCCTAGAACTCAGGGTCTGTGCCATGTGCTCTAGGGAAGACTAGGGGCTGCCTTCTCTTCCTTGCAACCCTGCCAGCTACACACTATTGTGTAGGCACACGTTGACATGTTAGGGGCTGGGCACAGAACTGCTCTGGCCTCTGCTGCATGCCATGTCTCACAGATACAGACCCATCTCAGAGACTGCTGAAAATAGCGTACTCCATATCTGATCATCCAAGTGCGGATGTTAGGGTTCTCCTGATTGGCCCAAATGGTCTGCAGTAGCCAGTGACTGGAGTGCTTCCTGAACCCAGGAAGGCAGGAACCCTTCTCTGCCGCGGGTGGAGGAACTTCACAGGTGTAGAAAGCTCTCGGGTGGAGGAAGCTCCTGGGTGGGACTTCACCTCCTCACCAGCAACCAGCATGTTCTGTCTTCATATTCACCACCTGAGTGTTATAAGTGAGCGCCCATCCACTGAGCATGCTCCCTTTCACTCCAGGGGTCCACACACCCCTAGCAGTCATGCCCTTCCACCCGCTCAGACCATGCCCACAGAGGCTCCTACCCCACTGGCTCCTGACATGCAGTCCTTGATGCGCTGTCTCCACTGTCTGCAAGGTGCATCCTGCACTCCACCTTCCCCGTCAAGTAGACAGTGTGAGTCACTACAAGGGGTAAAGGGTCTTTGTGCTGATAGGTTTGCATTAGTGAGAAAGCAATCTGGATGAGGGACATGCAAATCAAACCCATAAGAAGATGCTACTTCAGTTTTCAGAAGGGTTGTTATCCACAAAATAGAAAACAAGCACTGGCAAGAAACTGGAAGTATGGCCACTATGGGAAACATAATGGCAGGTCTTAAGGAGACCAAGAGAGGGGGACAGTGGGTGATGAAGAGGGATGGGAAGTGGCAGAAAGACACGTGGAACATGGGAGACCCAGAGACCCAGTCGGGGAGGGTACTAAGAAACAATCAGGGGTGGGAGTATTTGGGGGGGAGAATCACTAAGACCCTTTGTTGGTGTCTTTGCCACTGATCTATGGCTGTGAAGACACACCATGACCATGGCAACTTATAAAAGAAAGCATTTAACTGGGGCTCCCTTACAGTGTTGAAGGGTGAGTCCTTGGCCATCATGGCAAAGAGCAAGGCAGGAAGCATGCAGGCATGGCCCTGGAGCAGCAGCGACGGGGTATGTCATATCCACAAGCTGGAAGAAGGGAGAGAAAGAGACACAGACAGACAGGCAGGCAGAGACTGGGCCCTTTTGAAACCTAAGCCCAAGCCCAGTGACAAGGCCACACTCCTATGTTGTAGAATGTTAGTTATGTTTATGCTGTGGAACATTTGTTTAATGATGCAAAGATGTGTTGCATTCTTTCATGTTGCATTTGTTTGACTCTGTGAAGCTGTGTTACTGTGCCTGCCTAAAACACCTGATTGGTCTAATAAAGAGCTGAATGGCCAATAGAAAGGCAGGAGAAGGGATAGGCAGGGCTGGCAGGTAGAGAGAATAAATAGGAGAAATCTGGGAGGAGATAGAGGAGCGAAAGAAGGAGAAGGAGAGGAGGACCGAGGGGCCAGTCACCCAGCTACACAGCAAGACATGGAGTACGAAGTAAAGAAAGGTATACAGGAATAGAGAAAGGCAAAAGTTAGACAGGATAATTTAAGAAAAGCTGGCTAGAAACAAGCCAAGCTAAGGCCGAGCATTCATTAGAAAGAATTAAGTCTCTGTGTAATTTATTTGGGAACTGGGTAGCAGGCCCCCAAAGAATAAAGAGCAAGAGCCAAAGAGTCCTAGAGTAAAAAGGAAAGAACTACACTCCTAGTCCTTCTTAAACAGACCACCAACTTGGAACCAAACATTCAAATTTATGAGCCTATGGGGTCACCTCGTTCAAACTGCCACAGTCTCTAGTACCTTATACATTCATTAAAAAAAAAAAGAAAGAAAGAAAAAGAAAAACTACCATAGCATCCAGCCCCGCTGCATCTATCAATGCAGCCAAAAGAAATGAAAGCAGAGCTGGGCAGTGGTGGCAAATGCCTTTAATCCCAGCACTCAGGGAGGCAGAGGCAGGTGGAGCTCTGTGAGTTCAAGGCCAGCCTGGTCTACAGAGAGAGATCCAGGACAGGTACCAAAAAAAACTATACAGAGAAAACCTGTCGAGAAAAACAAAATAAAAAAATCGTTTCTTTCTCCTTTGGGGTTGGGGATTTAGCTCAGTGGTAGAACGCTTGCTAGGCCCTGGGTTCGGTCCTCAGCTCTGAAAAGAAGGAAGGAAGGAGGGAGGGAGGGAGGAAAGAAAGAAAGGAAGAAATGAAAGCAGGGGCTGACGAGATTTTTGTTGTATTTGTCGGCTTGCCATCACTATAACAAAACACCTGAGGTAATCAACCTAAAGAAAAAAACCATTCAGCTCAGCATTTTAGAGGCTTCAGCCCATGGTCATCCAGCACCGTGGCCTTTGGGCTCGTGATGAAGGAGAACAGAAGGTGGATGGCGGAGTGAGCTGCTGTGTCCTTGGAGAAGCAGACATAAGAGAAAGAGCGGCCAGAGTCCCAGCATCTCCTTCATGGGCTCATCTCCAGTGAGCTCTCTTCCTCTCAGTGGTGCCTTAGGTCAGTGACCAAGCGTTCAGCACCTGGACCTTTGGAGAACCATCAAGATCCAAGTGCCCCTACTCACCAGTGCTTGTAGCAGCATTATTTACCCCAGCCAAAGGGCAGAGACAACACATGCCCATTTATTGACAGAGGAGTGGGCAGACCATAGAATTCTGATGCCTGCTGCAACAGGTAGAGGAAGAACCTTTGTGATGAAGTACAGAGGTTCCCTCTGAAGGTTCAGTACTTAAATCTAGTGGAACTGACAGTTAATGAAACAAAAGGCATACAAAGTCAACAGCCTGCATAAATACGAGGGACTCGCAAAAGAGTGGGTCACCCAGTGGCCCAGTGACAATCAGGAACTTATACACCCAACCCTGTGTGTGTGTGTGTGTGTGTGTGTGTGTGTGTATGTATGTGCGTGTGCGCACGTACTAGGGCATCAGAAAGACTATGTGTTCTACCCCGGAGCCCCAGGAATTTGCTCTTTTGCAGGGGCGATGGAAAGTGATTACAAGCATTTTAGTGGGATAGACCAAGTTGGTTTGTTTGTTTGTTTGTTTGTTTGTTGTGTAAGGTTTTTGTTGGTGGTGGTGGTTTTGGGTTTTTTTTTGTTTTGTTTTGTTTTTTTCTTGGTTTTCAAGACAGGGTAACCATATTGTTTTTATGAGGGAGAATGAGCCCTGAAAACAGATGTGGGCTGCAACGAAGTCCCTCTGGGTTCTCGGTGCCATATTTGATTTTCAGTCAAGTATGAGTTTAATCTTTTTCAAGTTAATGAAAAGTCAGTCCAAAGATTTGAAGGCATTGTGTCCTTTGCTGGATCAGATCTACAGATGGTAGGAAGGATAGCCCTTCCCCTCCCTGAAGTTTCTTCCCTCCCTCCATCCCCCACCCCCAGTGCTCTGGGTTGGAAATCTGAATCAGCATATTTTAGGTTATTGTTTTCTGACCATGAACATCTTGAAGACCGTACACCAAGTAAAACAAGCCAGATGCTCAAGGACACATTTTATATCATGCCACTAATATGAGCTACTTAGGAGAGTCACCTTCAAAGAGACAGAAAGTAGAAGGGTGCTTGCCAGGACTAGAAGGAGGGGAAAGTGGGGAGCTCATGATTTATGGGGATTCCAGTTTCCCGGGATGGTGGAAACATTCTAAAGATGGTTATATCTTTGTATCTTTATATGTAACACCTTAGAAACCATACTCTTGAAATGGTTACAATGACCAAGCAGATGCCAGCACTTGGGAGGTGGGGGCAGGATAATTCTGAGCTACCTAGGGAGTTCTAGACCAGCCTGAGCTAGTTAGACCTGTCTCAAACAAAACAAAGCGTGATCACAACTACTGTGATGGTTATCGTGGTTGTCAACTTGATGGGATTTAGAGTAATGAGGAAAACAACCCTCTGGGCTCGTCTGTGAGGCACTTCCTAGATTAGGCTAATTAAGGCAGGAAGACCCATCCTAAATGCCAGTGGCATCATCCCAGGGGTGAGGTAGGTCCTAGACCGGATAATAGAAAGAGAGCTGAGCATCAGGATGCATGGCTGTCTTCTTCCTGAGTGTGGGTGCAAAGTGACCAGCTGCCTAAAGTTCCCATTGCTGTGCCTTCCCATCATGATGTGTACCCTCAAACTGTGAGCCACAGTTAGCCTTTCTCCCTTTTTTAAAAAAATAATTTATTTAAATTTCTTTTATGTGCACTGGTGTGAAGGTGCCAGGTTCCCTGGAACTGGAGTTACAGACAGTTGTGAGCTGCCATGTGGGTGCTGGGAATTGAACCTGGGTCCTTTGGAAGAGCAGTCAGTGCTCTTAACCACTGAGCCATCTCTCCAGCCCCAGCCTTTCTCCCTGAAGTTGCTTTTGTCTGATATTCTGTCATGGCAAGTGAGTAAATGTAGTGATACCTATCATTATATTTTACCACAAAAAGGAATGTGTATATGTTAGAGATTTTAGAAACTATCAGTAAACACGGGGAGGCGGGGACTTAAAATCATTCTCAAGCACTAAACAGAGCCACTTTTAAAATTTCAGTATCTTTCTGTTCTTTCAGGGAGGGAGAGAGAGAGAGAGTGTGTGTGTTCAGAGGCCATACTGAACCTAAAGGAAGAATCTCCTCATCCTGTCCCCCAGCTGTCCCCCAGTGCTGCCTCCTCCCTTGGAGCCACCCAGAACTGGATCTATTAATCTGGATGGCATCGATCTCTTGAGAGATTTCTCCCACTGATTCTGCTCTACCCATATCCTGGGCCGTGCTTCTCTGAAAATGCTCCTTTCTTTGCTGTGCCTAAAACTGTGCTGCAGAGTGGACCAGTAACACACGGGAAGGGACGGAAAGAGGTGAGCTTACTCAGGTCCCTCCAGCCCCTGCCTCGGAGCACCTGCTTCTGGGACACGATGCTGAGCCTCGCACTATCCCTGACAAGATCCGCTTCTCCAGCCTGTCAGGAAACAGGACCTCCCTTCTCCAGCGGCAGGCCAGCCTCTGCCTCCGAAATGAGTTGCGGGGTCTCTGACCCCTTTTGCAGCTACTTCCTCTGGGCCTCCTCTCCTGAGGCCTTCTTCTGCACTTGAGTGAGTCAAATGCCATGCTCCTCCACCATGGGCCTCTGGGGGGGCTGGGAGTAGTACCCCAAGGTCACAGTTGAGCCCAACTGTAGCCCCCTTCCTCGGCTTGGTCACCTGGTCTTGGATTCAAGACATCTCTAACGTCGTCATCAGCAAAGAAAAGGTAAAACAAGACACCACAGCCAACGAGAGAGCTGACCTGTATGCCCACCCAGTAGAGACAGAGCTGCTGTTTGTCTTCTCCAGCAGCCACAGACACGTGGCCCTTCTCTTTTGACTGGGAGGCCTCCAGAGAAGGCCTTATTTAACCTTGCAGTCAGGAGCTTTACAGCCCAGCCCTGAGAGGATTATCTTTTTATTGCAACTTTGATTAATGATTGATCAAAGCCTGATACTAGAAGCACCGAAGAACAAATTTGCCCTAGAGATTAGGGGTGCTTACATCTGCCAGGCTGCCTGAGGACCTGTCCACCTGCTCTCTCCAAGATCAAACCAGGGCAAGGGTGCATGGGAGACCCACCCCACATGTTCTCAAACAGGGTGGGGAGCGGAGATGAAGTGTCCTCAAGCCAGGTTAGAATCAGGCTAAGAATGTCACGTAAATGACAGTGACGGGGAGAGAGCCTTGGCAGCCTTTAGCAGGATCTTCTGGACTTGTTTTTGTTCCCAATGCTCCCCATTCTATTTTAGCAGCTGAAAGGGAAACTGAGGCAGGAGGAAGAAGCTTCCTGGAGTCTCTAAAAAACGGCTGAGTTTTATCTCTAAAGGACTGCCTTGTCGCCCATGGCCTGCCTGGACTCCCCCATGAGGAAGGAGGTGCTTCCTCACACAATTTAACTGAGGGTCAAAGGTCAGGCGGGGAAGGATGGGGTGCTGAACAGAGACCCCCTTTCATGAACATTTGTACTAGAAAGTGCCATGGAGCTGGTTCAGGCCATGTTGGTGTGCTCCAGCTGTCTTGGATGCCCTCAGACTGCCTTCGGGGTCCCCATAGTCCAGATGAGAATCGCCGAAGGATCCCAACTCAGAGACCAGGAGTCTGCAGCTTCCCAGCACCCCCACACAGAATTCTGGCCCTGCCTGCCCTCGAGGACCCGCGGGAGGAGGGTGCTGGCCGCACAGCTTCCTGCTCTACAGCTTCTCTGAAGCCCTGGGGACCAGGGCAATTAGGAAGCTGGCAGAGCTGCTTCTAAATTGAAACTGGAAAATAAAACTGGAAAATAAAACTGGAAATCACAGCCTCACGTCCCTCGGAGGCGCCAGGGTTTCTTTTCCACAGGAGAGTCCCTGAGGGAGAAAGAGGCCTGTTTACTGAGGGCAGGAGGTGTCAGTACGTAACATGTCTTCACGTGCAGACTCTTTCCAGCCGTACTTGAGGGGGACTCCCCCACGAGGAAGGAGGAGGTGCTTGCTCACACAATTTAACTGAGGGTCAAAGATCAGAAATCTTGGGCTCTCTTCTCCTCTCACCCCACCCCTACAGATACACATGGGCTCCAGTGTACATACACTGGATGGTTCCAGGAGGTCAGCGTTCCTGCAGGCAGCAGATTTCCCTGAAGAAATTAGAATACAGGGGAGAATCCAGTGAGGGGGAGCCACAAACAGACCCCACTGCTGTCTCCACCCTGCCCCTCGCCTCACCTGAAATGTCTCCTCCTCAGGGAAGAGCAGCCCAAATCCCCCCAAACCTACACACCCCTTGGGTTAAGACTCCCGAAACTTGACCCTCAGCTAACCCTGTATTTGCTGTCTTTATGGTAATAGGCCTAACGTCTGCCTCTTCCACTGGACATCTCTGAGGCTCAGACTTGGTCTGTGTGGCTTACACTGTGTCCCCAAGGTGTAGAATAATAGTACCTTGCATGCAGCAAGTACACACTCAGCTATGTACAGAACTGACGATGCTCCCTCAGGACTGCCTGCCTCAGGGACCCCAGTGTCCACACCCCTTCTCAGGCCCTCCGAGCACCTTCCTCTGACGCTGGTGGTGGCAGATACCCCAGATCGGCTGTCCCCAGTTCCCAGCCCCAGCTCATGGAATACTTGGGACTGTCTCCAGTATGTACAGGATTATAGGTTTAGTCGCAGGAGGTGGCCGCAGGGGTAGACCACCGGTGGCACACCCAACATAGCCCTGTCTTTGTGCCCTATACAGCTGGGCTTCACACAGCCCGTCCCATATACACAAGGACACCTGACCCCAGAAGGACCAGAAAAGAAAAGCCACTTTCTTCCTGAGGATTAGGAGCTGAAGGCTGGGAACATAACTGATTTTTTTTTTAAATAATTTTTTTATTACAGTGTGTGTGTGTGTGTGTGTGTGTGTGTGTGTGTGTGTGTGTGTGTGAAGCACAGCTCCCAAAAACACAAAGCAGTGCAAAAAGGTGAGGGACCTGTGGACGCCAGCCCATCTTCCCTCTCCCCTTTGGGGTAGGACCACAGCCCCATTTAACGTTAGGCTACAAGTTGTACCAGAGGAACAGGATAAACTGAACGTGCCAGCCATTTGAACTGCGGGCTTGCCCAGGCTGCAGTGAAGCAGATGGTGAGGGCCCGCAGACCAGGCCCACTTCCTCCCTCCCTGCCTGCATCCTCCTCATCCCCCTCCCACCAGTAGGCTTCCCGAGACTGCAGGAAGTGGGGCTGGGGCAAGGAGCAGGCCCTTTGGGTGTCTTTGTGGTGCGGGCAGGGAGAGGGCACAGAGGCGCAGCTGCCATGGTGGTGATAGAAGCTCGGTCCTTGCTGGGGCTGGGCTTGAGAGCAGCCATGTGGTAGCCTCGGCTCACTATGGTCACGCCTGCTCACTATGAGGCTGCAGCAGGCCGCAGGCCGCAGGCTTTTCTGTCTTGAGATTCACAGGTCTCCATGGCATCCAGGGAGAGAAGGGAAGGAAAAGGGGGAGAGCCGAATCTTTTCTCAGAGGAAATGCAGCTGTGGTTTTGAGATGTTCATATTTCACAGCTGTGGTCGGCGTTTCTCAGGGTTCTCGGAGGTAAACGCGGGGTCAGCGCCATGTCACCAAAGAAGGTTCACAGTGACCCTAGCAACAGTCTTCACTGCCCATTGGCTGCCACGGCCGCCGCCGTCCACCAGTGCGGCCTCCTGGAGGCAACTCAGGGGCGGGCTGGTGTTCCTCCATGCACAGAGGTTCCTCTGTCTGCCCTGCAGAGTCCCGTAGAGAGGGGCAGTGTTCTGAACAAAGGTGGACAGGCAGGGGTGGGGCAGGACTGCCTGGCTGTGTGAGTTTCAGAGTCCACTGGAGTCCTCACACAGCACCCGACCAGCACCATCTGTGTAGTGGCCGGGCCCCAACTTGCCAGGGCAAGCCCTCTGCCCGAGGTCCCACCACGGTCTCCACCCTAGTTTCCATTTTGGCTCTGCTCAGTCTTCCTCTGTGCCAGGCACTCAGCTAGGCTCCTTCTACCTGTTATAGCCGTGGATTCTCTCAGTAAAAATTCTCTTTTATGCAGAAGCCGAGGCTGCAGAGAGTCAGGGACTAACCCGGAGCTATGCCACTAATAAGTCACACTTTAATCTCAGTTTCGACAGGTCCAGATCCCAGGCTGTTAGCCACTGCACTGTACTGAAGGCACCCAAGGTCTCTGGCTCAGACCCAGGGTTGTGACATGGGGGACTGAGGTGAGGATTGCCCATGTGACAGATGCCTGGGGAACCCGGTGCCAAGCAGTGGATTGTCTGGCTGCATACCTCAGCAAGGTGGCCTGGGCACGCCCCCAACAGGCTCCCCAAGAGTCTCGTGTGGTCCTCCAGAGAGTATGCAGTTCAAACACTGGGGCTTGAGAACCAGACTTCGTTGTGGCTCTGGTGTTCGGTTTCCACTTCCTCTTCTGAATTTCTTCCCACCCCACCCAACTGCACCACCAGTGTGAGGAGCAGAGAGAAGGCTGCTGTCGAGGGTGCTAGCCTGTGGGGGCCAGAGGGAACAGGACTGGCCAGGCCAAAGGGTTCAGACGGTAGAAAGTCAAATTGTAAGAGGAGGCCATATGCTTCTCCTCTGCCCGGATGACACTTCGGAGTTACAGCCCCACCTCCCTGAGGAACATTTCCTAGATTAAAAGTAAAGATGAGGGGGGGCTGAGTGGGTGGCTCAGTGGTTAGGGGCACTTGCTGCTCCTGCAGAGGAGTGGAATTCGTTCTCAGCCCCCACAGAGGGTGACTTCCTGTAACTCCAGCTCCAAGGCATCTGGCACTCTCTTCTGGACTCTGTGGATACATGCACACACATGCGTGTATACACACACATACACAAATCTTTTGTTTTTGTCCTTCTTTTTTTTTTTTTAAGAAGTTGGGGCCTGGTGAGATGGCTCACTGGGTAAAGGCACCTGCCACCAAGCCTGATGGCAAGTTCTCTACCTGGTACCTACATGGTAGGAGAAAAACGACCCCCACAACTTGTCCTCTGACCTCCACATGTCTGCTGTGCCATGTTCCCTTACCCCCTGCCAAAAAATAAATAAATGCAAAGCAAAAAATTTAAGGTGGAAGTACAAATACCTTATTGTCCCAAAGTCTCACTCAGTCTTTTCTTGCAGTGGTCCGACCGCTGTACCCCAGCACATCCACGGCTGTGAGACAAAACTTTTCCTGGGGAGAAGCAACACACCCACATGTCTCCCCAGAGAGAGAGCCCGTGACAGACCAAAATTTGGACAACACCAATATCTGACTTCGTGAACCATGAGCGCCTGGGGTTACTTACAGGAATATGGGTGTGGGTTACTTACAGGAGCAGAAATGACTCAAGGATGGTTGCATTGCCAACGCCCACCCCAGCATGGGTGACAGCTCACAAAGCTGGGAGCCTGGAGCACACTGCACAGCCTGCAGGCAACTCAGCAGGCTGGAGAGGGTCCTTTCCAGGTGGCTCAGTTACTCTACACCTCATTCAGGCATCATCTCATTGATGATGCTGGTGGATATATCGGTCAATGGCTGTTGCTCAGCTTTCTTCCCTCTGAGAGAGACTCTCAGCATTTATTGTCAGCTCTGGCGGGGAGGGACCTAGTGAATCTGACCAGTTTCGGGGACTTCCTGAAGCTGTTTTGAATTGTTTACCTTCCTGCCCAAGGAGCTTCCCTGCAGGATGGAATGTTTCAATCTAGGGGAAGCTGTTACACAACATCTACAAAGCAGAGAAAGGATCTGAAATGTCACCAAGCATGGTGACACATGTCTGTGATCTCATGATCTCACAGATGGAAGCAAGGAAGATCAAGAGTTAAAGGCAAGCCGGGCGGTGGTGGCGCACGCCTTTAATCCCAGTACCCGGGAGGCAGAGCCAGGCGGATCTCGGTGAGTTCGAGGCCAGCCTGGGCTACCAAGTGAG